TCTCCCTCGAAAAAGAGATTTTATCTCAAGGGACTTCCCGGTAAAATAAAGGTTAAAAAAAAATAAACTACATGCAGAAAGACCCCATGTATTAGAACCTGTTTTTAAAGAATGACATCGCCATAAAACAACAAATCCAATATCTAAAAACAGATACACCAAACACATAATGCAGAAGCATAATTAAACATTAGGGCAGTTGCAGATGCCAATTGATATAATGTTCTTTAAGAAATCTTTATTTTTCCAAGGTTAGAAAAGATAACTTGAAATCTTTCTGTACGTCAGTCTAGGTTAGATGGGCAGGAAATGTAAAATCATATTTAATCATTTCAGTTCTGACCTTTGGAACCTGCACCATAATTTTGTCCTGAGAGTGCAGACCATAACGGGTAGACATTTTAGACAGACATAAGCATAAGCATATAGGAAGATGTCCAAGAATGACAGATAAACACTAAGTAGAAAGACAGTATGTTAAAGACTGACCTTTTGCAAGTATAGCTATAGTTATTCACGAAACTCAGGCTATAATGATGTATAGCATCGTCTTTTTTCAAATACTTTCATCAGTTCTCTTTTTCAGCCTCCTTATCGCGTTACATTCCTCAGTTTAGCTCTACCTTTAGTAAAACTCCCTAACCAGGAGCAATCTGATATGTACTTCATTTGTGTTAATCCTTCTTTCTGATTTGATGTTTAAATTAAAGATAAATGATGTTAAATAGCTGATAAACAGCTTCTGGTAGGCTGTTCCCAGCTACTTAGCCTCAATTAGGTAATACTTGAATAAATCATCCCATGCAATTGAATTCCCTAGTTCTCTTTTATGAATTATACCCATTTTAAAATCAAATAATTGATCTGATTGATCAGTTTGAACAGAGTATTCATGCCGACAGCTAATCAGTTGTCAATTCATCTTCTGACATGGGAGCTGGCTCGGAGCTCATCTGCCTGGTGGTGTGTTTGCTGAACGAGGCGGCCTGTGGTTCACAGCTGCTTTTTGTATCTCTGCTTCTGTCTCCTTGAACCCCAGTCGGCCTCAGCAGATGGCCGCTCACACTGAGCCTGGTTCTGCTGGAGGTTTGTTCCTGTTAAAAGGGAGTTTTTCCTCTCCACTGTCGCTACAAGCATGCTTAGTGTCAGGGGTTGCTTTCAAGTCAATGAGTCGATGCAATCAACTGGTTTTCCTTAAATAGAAAACTTTAAATCAATTTGACTGTATGATCTTTTTAATTGTAAATGACATATGTTGTGAATTGGTGCTATATAAATAAACTAAGTTGAATTGCATTGAATTGAATCAGTCATTAAAGCTAAAACAAATTGACAATGGATCATTTATCTCTTGCCATGTTTATCTGGTTTCTGTGAATCATTCCGCTTAACCAGAACCATTTTCATTGGCTGAGAGTTTGTGAACAAACAAGAAATGCTACAATGGTCTCAGGGTTTTTTCAGAGATAAAACTGCTCAGGATGGATGGTGTTGCCA